TGGCTAAACGCCTAATTCAAAATTGTTATGTTGATATTAATATTCCAATACAATAAGAAAGCCAAGTTTAGTTTACATCATATACAATGAATGTTCCCGCACATAGTGTGGGTGAGAATCTAGTATACATACAATTTGCTTGTCATTTCTCATATCTAACTGCATAAATTTTATTAGAATAAGGTAATCAAGATCAAGAGCCAAGCTCAAGTCTCAGAGTCAGAAACTGCACCAGACACAGAATCAAACCGCGATGGAGAACCAGATGCCGGAGGAGAATCAAAGTAATGATGAGAACTGCAGCCAAAGAGCAAGTTTATGCCATAGTCTTGGTCCTTAGAGAGAATGATGACTAAGATAGATACCACCTATAACCTTTCATTTTCTTTCTAGATAGATATACAAAAGAAAGAACTAGTTTTGGGGACTGCATCACAATCCGTGCTACTACCCATTCATTTCCAAAATCATAGAGAATCTCAATAACTTATTCTATTTTCAACTTTTAACTTAAGCAAAGTAATAACTAATGATGGATTTTAGTGGTTTACTCATGTTTTCTTCAAGTAAAGCTTTACTTGTACATATATGTAAACAAAACCAGGGATCAACAAATTAAGAATGACTACTTCCTTGTGTAGCATCATTGTGACAATGTCATTAATATATACATAAATACCAAATCTAGCTAGCATTTGATTATTCATAGTTGAACCTTTGAAAAAAGGGCAGGCATCAACTTCAGAGCGATATCGCTGTAGACTTCAATACCTGTAATCCAGAAACAAATGTTCTCACTTAGAGGCAATACAGAGATTAAGAAAGAAAGAATCTGTATTGAGAATCAATCACCAGTGTCTCGAAGAACATTCGAGCAGCTAGCTTCCTGGTTTTCCCTGCCAAGATCTTGCTCAAACTAAGATCTCCAGAAGGATAGCTTGAAGTAGGACTACTCGAAGAACGTTCTTTAAGATACTCGACCAAGGGTCTGCAATGTTCAATGAATGTTACAAGTTAGTAGAGAAACAGTAGGATCTTAAAGCTACATGGTTTTTGGAATCTTTATACCTTGTTCTCCCTGTCAAAGCATCAGAGCTTTGACTAGCTGCTGATCTTACGGGGGGTATCGCTATCAATGTTAGCAAAGCACCAAGAATGGTAAAAAGTAAAAACAAAACATGCGAAAACTTGAGAACAAACCTCATCCACCATTTCAGGAATAGCTGAAATCCCCAAGTTTCTTACTCCAGACAGATCCTCTGGAGTTGAAGGCTCTGTTCTACAAGACCCTCTCTCCCAAATTCCAGGCTGAGTGGTGAAGTCATGGGTTCTAGAAGGCGAAAATCTTGTAAGTGGTGAAGGCATGTACTCAGGGAAACCACCATCCCTTAAATGTTCGATTCCGATGTCATCATTATTATTAAATAGCGGGGAGGAGATTGTGCTTCTCTTGCTACAGACTCTGCATATGCGGACTGAGGACCTGTAAAGTCTTGGACATCTTCAGTTTACCAGTAAACAAGGACACTCATTGAAAAATTGATCCTTCTTTGACTTTTTATTCAGTCTCCAAAAATTTAATTTAGATGAAGGCATCTTGTTTCTCTTACGCAGAGTATTACTAGGATCCTCAAGCCTTTGTTTCATGATCCTGTCCAAATTCATTGATCAGTATGCAACAGGTAATGAAATAATAAGAGTCACAGGAAGCAATGGAGAATTTATATTACCTGTTAGTCAATACTGTGGCCTTATCAAAATGCTTCCTCTTCCTTGGCCTTGTTTGTGGTGGTGGAAGAGGAGTTGGCTGAAGATCCAGTTGAGGTGATGTATGCACTTAACATTAAAACAAAGGAAATATTTTAGATAAATAATAAGATTGTGCATATAATGGTTAAGCATAAAGTTATCAGACTATGTTGTATACTCACCAAAATTTGCATGTTCTTCCTCAGAACCAGCAAAACCTGGAGATCCTGAACGAAGCTCAAACGTCGAATGTCCTCTAGAGTTTAACACTTCTTCATCGATAATCGGGATATTGTGTTCCTTTTCATTCAAAGTTTCATCTAAAGATTCAGTGTGTTCAACTCTGACATTCTGTTGTTGTTGTGCAGCAAACGGTGGATGCGAGGCAGGGCTTAAGTCGTGCGCAGCGTCACGCCTTTTCTCAATCTCGGGAACACTTCCAAGAGGAGAACTAGCACTGCTTCTCTCGGGACTGAGATTGACGGCTTCTGTCAAATTACTTGGTCTAGGATCCTGGAATCCACTGATTTCCTCTGTGTAGTTACAAGGACTATAGGTTCCAGTATATAGAGCAACATTGAAGTCTCCTAGCTCATTGGTTGGTCCTGCCTCATAAGCCATTTCAACATCACTTTCGCCAGAATGCTCACTCACAGGTACTGTGGATTGGCTGCGTGAATCATGAAAAACGCTAACTACATCAAAAAGCATATCCTTGAACAGATTAGGAAGAGAAAGAAATCGAAATTCTTTCGATGAATTCTGGAATGATGTCCTGTAAGAAAGAGATACAAACTTCCCTTCAATAACAATTTCTCAGAGACATGAACTTCAAAGTCATAAAACACAAGCAGGAATCTCACCTCCTGGAATGTTATAACTACATAAGGATCAATGCCAGTAGGAATTTGCTCTGCAAAATCAGCATCAGCATCATAAACACCTCGAATGATCAAGTCATGATACATCTACAACAAAACAAATAAAAACATGCCAAAAGGTACCTGTAAGAGTAATATCTTCCCCACTTCCAATATGACCTAGGATTCGGATTCACAAGAAAGTGTTAAGATCTCTCAAGCTTTAAAAACTGATCAAACTCCAATTTAAGTGAAAAAAATGGATACCGGTCGAGAATTTCATCATCTTCCAAGTCGAAATCGTCCAAATTTATTGCTTGAGGCAAAAAAGTCACTAACTCAACCGGTGCCTGTCTCTTATCCTCTGGCAAGTCAACTTGAGTAGATACAAAAGACTTATTTAACCAAGTAGTGATGAGTTTACAATCACTGTGAAGATAATGGACTTTCTTCGAATATATTCGCACAACCCCAACTAGAAGATGAGCTGATAGTCTCAATGCCATAGGCACCTCAGGATCCATTATAAGATCTGCAAAGAACAATTCACATATAACATAATTTACAAATTAATCAACAATCCTGCATATGAACAATCATTGAGAGTGTTTAGTGAACCAAAATTATTGAAAAGGTCAAAACTTTAACAAAGCAGGAAACACAAAAGTAAGTGTAAACGAAACCAAACCGCAATTTGGCGAATACCCATGTAAAAAAATCTTAAATTTTTGCGAATTTGATACAATCAGAGGAAAAGGGATGAAATTTATGGAGATTACAAAGTAAAATCGAATGAGGGAAAGACGAACAAACTGTTTTGGCGATGTTCGTGGAGGTGTAGTGAGATTTGTTGAGGCGATTTTGCAAGTGAGCAGCGCTCCACACAGTCCCTAGAGAGAGAAAGCTTGGGTAGTGTGAGAGAGAAGATGTTTAGGGTTTTATATGATTTTTGG